AGACAGAAGCCATCCTCAGGTCATACCAGTATTTCTCCCAGGGAAAATGAAGGGGTCTCTCCATGTTAATCAGAAAGACAAAGACCAGAGGAGTCCTGAAATAGCACATTTCAAAGAGAAGAAAGCTAGCATCCTATCAGGGCAACAGCCGCGGTGAGGTGCAAACCTTCAGTGCGATGCTGCCGCCTGAGCAGGGGCCCCTGATGGGCTCTGGGTACTGAGGCCACACTGGGAATGTGGACGGCTCTTCCCTCACGCCAGGGGCTAACCTGCCTCAGAGCTGGGTGGGGGCCACGGCTCTGCCAGGCCAACTGCACCCCGCCACCCTCATACCAGCTTGGCAGGATCAAGCCCAAATGTCACCTGATTATCCTACAAATGTAATCATATCTGACAAGAGGCTGATTGGACAGCGCACACTGTCATTTCCTCTAATTAAAGAATGCTCGAGAAAAACCAAAATGGCCACAAAGCACTGTCAGCACAGCAATCAGCTGTACTCAGTCCCGAGCTGAGCCCTACGCAGGGAGCAGGGCCGGCTGTTCTGGGTTTCCAATCAGCGTGACAACAGGCGTCAAGGAAGACAAGGCTAAGAAGAGGGGCCGGAGCCTGCTGCACACCCAGAGTGCCGGCCTGCGACCCCCGAGTGAGGGCAGAGGCAGCAGTTTGTTTGTTTGTTTCTGTGCAGCCATGGAGGGGGATGTTAGAAAGAACCCTGCAGCCAGCTTCCGAAGCAGCTGGAAGTCTACTGGCTGCAGCCCAAGCTGTCACTTGCCCTGAATGACCCTTCTTCTTCTCAACCTGAAACAATTCTACAAATCTTCCAAATCTACGAGCAGTTCATCGACATCTCTTTTGTGAGGGTTTCACAACTTCAACACATGTGAATTCCCCCTTTTCTCAACCCTCATAAGAGATCACCATCTAAATTACAAAGGTCATTAACAGTAGGAGTTGGAAAAATATATAAATAAACAGACATAACACAACTGTCACAATAAGTCATCATGTGTGTGTGTGTGTGAGACAGACATGTCTACATAACAATTATAAGGAGCGTCATTCTCTCCTTCCCAGCATGTCTGCCTAAACATACACAACAAAATGTTTTTCTTCCTAAAACTGATGGAAAGTGATCTCTACCCTTCACTAAATCCTTTCACTCCTCCTCAAGGGAGGAGTATTCAGACTTGAATTGCTCAGACTGAGCGAGGGAAAGTGCATGGAGCTCTGGACACTGTCCCTTCTCTCTGTTTCTATCCACAGCAGCATGTATTTTTCTTTTCCATGAAAGAAAGCTTCAGCAGTAAAAGTAATAGCATGCCTGATTCTAGCTGATCCTGTCCATAATTTAAGCTCATTCTCCAATCCAAGATCACTGTGAATAAAGCTGATATTTAGCTCTGTGTCTATCTGACACCTGTATTTAGTTGTCCATCCACAGCAAACCCAACCCTGATCTCTTTTGCAGCAACAATATGCCTGACTCAGAGATACATTTCCCAGACTGCCTTGCAGCTAAGGGTAATCACTGAGACTAAAATATAATTCACTGGCCCTGAGAAACCAGGATAAGTCTTCACCTGGACTGATGCAGCTACAAGGCATGAATGACCTTGCGCCCTTCTCTGCCTACCTGCTTGGAACATATCCACGATGGCCCCAAGCTGACAAGCTATGTTAAAATAATTTAGTGATATTGCCAGAACTCTTTAAATGAATGTCTCTTACTAAGGCACAGGGGATGTTGGGGGCAGGGTTCAAAATACCTGGGGACAAAAGCAAGGGTAGAGACAAAAGGACAGCAGGCACAATAACCCAGCAATCATGGCCAGCACTTTTTATGAAATTAAAGGAAAGAGGACAACTTAAGAATTGGGATAAATGTAAAATTAACCTTTATTGAAAGCTGAAAAAAGAGAGAAAACTAGAATTCTAGCAGCACAGTCCTATCACTGCATCACAAGATACAAAGTTTGGAAGATTCAAAAGCTGAAGATCTCTTGGCAAAAACCTTGACAGAGGGATGGGTCCTCACTAGAACCCTTTAGACCAGGTTTTGAAGCATCAGTAGAAACTTCACGCAGAGACTTGTTGCTTGAGCTGGAACCAAAGTGGGGAGGAAGACAACTGCCCCTAGGAGGCAGGCTTCAAAGGTCTAAGAAATCCCTTTATAAGAGGAAGCAACAGAAAAATCCCTGTTACAAGAAAGAGTCAGGGTTTTTGAGTGCTAGGAACAATTCAGAGAAGAATTGGAAATTAAGAAGCTTTAAATATGCATATAAATGATAATTATTCAGTTTAATTCAATAATTTAGCTAACAAATGCATTTAAATGTCTTAATTTGTGTACTATAACCCAGTTTATTCTTAAAGTAGGATTACCATCACAATATTTGGACTTTGAAGGATTTCAATTTCATTATTAAAAGCACAGTTGGCAAAAAAAAGAAGAAGAAAGAATGAAAAGAAACAGTGATTGTGTAAAACATGACTTTTCAAAGTGCACAAGAATTCCTCAGGGGCCTTGTTAAAATGCAGATTCTGATTCATCAGGTCTGAGCACGGGACCTGTGATTCTGCGTTACTGATGAGCTCTCAGGCGAAGCCAATGCTGCTGGTCCTGCCCTTATGGAAGAACAAGGGACTCTCAGGCCCAGGATCCTGCACTGACACAAAGAAGAGGTCTGAGGGAGGAAGGGACAGGAAACTCTCTCCCACTCAAGCCACCCAAAAAATTCAAGGCAGAAATTAGATGCCATGAAGAGAAGCAGAAACACGGACAATGCCCCAATCCTAGACACACAAGGCCTGCCCAAGACTGAGTCTGGACCAGAAGAACACAGGGCCCCACCGCCACAGCTGCAGCTCTGCACTGAGCAATGAGGAGAGCAGTTCACCACGAGGAGAGGAGCAGGTGGAGGACATGGACAGAGATTCCCTCAGTGGAACGAGTGCGGAGGGTCTGCTGAAAGCTGAGGATGGAGTCTGGATGTGAGAAAAATCTTCTGGTACACCAGGCCATGCTAAGCATAAGGTAAATGCAGCCCACCACTGGAAAACTTTGGAGTCTTGGGGGCTGAAAGTAACTACATCAATCAGGGGTCCAACCCCACCCAAACTCCCTACTGACTACAAATCTTATTAACTGCTAACCAGATGGACTAAACCACCCTCACATCAGCAGCCTTGCGAAGAAGTCTGCCCATTTCTGGGTAGGAATATTACTTACTTTATTGTCTCCTACTTTTCTACTAACAATGTCCAACATTCAATCAAAATTACAATACATTCAAAAAAATCAAGGAGAAAAAACCCATTGTCAAGTTAAAGCAACCAACAGAACTAGACAGAGAGATGCCCCAGGTATTGGAACAACTGAAGACTTTAAAATAGTTATGATTATTATGTAAAAGGTTCACATGGGAAAAAAGGATACAATCCAAGAAGAGATGGAGAATTTCAGCAGAGACATGGAGACTATAGGAAAGAATTAAACAGAAATTCTAGAAATAAAAATACAATATCAGAAGTGAAGAATTTCTTTGATTGGCTGATGATGAGAGACAGGACACAGTTAAAGAAAAGAATCAGCAAACTTAGAATTTCAACAGAAATTATCCAAAGAGAAATGATAATTTTTTTAAAAGTATCCAAGAGCTGTAGAACAATATCAAGCAGTCCAATATGCACATAATTAGGGTACCAGAGGGAAGGGGGAGAGAGAGGTGCCATGGTAATTAAAAGGGGAAAGGAATAGTTTTTTTTAACATATGGCCCTGGAAAATTTGGGCATCCATATAAAAAAAAATCGAACCTTGACCTTTATCTCACACCAGATTCAAAAATTACCTTGAAATGTATCATATAACTAAATGTAAAACTTAAAGCTATAAAATTTCTAGAAAAAATTAACATCTTTGTATTCCTAGTTTTAGCAAGGATTTCTTAGGACACAAAACTGCTATCCATAGAAGAAAAAAACTGATAAACTGAACTTCATGAAAATTAAAAATTCTTCTCTTTGAATGACACTTTTAAGAGTATGAAAAAACAAGCCATAGACTGGGAAAAGGTGTTTGCAAAGCACACATTTGATGAAGGGTTTGTATCTGGAATATATTCTGTTACAGCACAGCAATGAAAATATAGATAACTTAATTTTTCAAATGGGTGACTAATTTGAATAGATACTCCAACAGAAATGTGTATATATAACCCAAACCAAAACTGACTCAAGAAGAAATTAGAAAACCTAAATTAATTAATTAAATAAATTCACAGGTAAAAATTCCTCCCTCAAAGAAAATAACAGTTCTCAACTGTTTTACTCTCATATTCCACCTTACATTCAAGTAGCAAGTAATTCCGATATTTTGAAAACCATTCCTGAGAAGAAAAGTACCAGAAAAGAAAATTGTATTCAATCTGAGGACTAAAACTAAATCTTAGCTAAATACCGAAAGGATAATGCATCATAACCAGGTTGGTTTTATCTCAGCAATGCAAAGTAATTTAACATTAGAAAATCAATTAATACAAATTACCATGAACAGATGAAGAACAAAAATCATTTGATCATCTCAATAGGTTAGAAAAGCATTCAAAAAAATTCAACACCCAGGGCAACCAACTTACTTTCGACAAACTAGGAATAGAAGAGAAACTTCTTAATCTGATGTAGACTATTAGTAAAGTACCGCCATCAAATGATGTTCCATAACTGATTGAATACACTTTGCCTATTCTCAGATATTTGGATTCTCTCCTCTTTGTTTTATGCGGCAATTATAATTTATGCTGTGATGAACATCTTTGGGCATGTTGATGAAGTTGCCTAACCTCTCTGTGTCTCAATTTCCTCATGTATAAAATTGAAATAAAGTACACCTAACTTACAGGGCTGTTACAAGATTAAATAAGATATTGGATTTGAGTCTTAGGGAGGCATGGGAGAAAAGCATGGTTTATAAATCTGAGGAAATTTATTCTGTATTTACCTGACGGAGGATCTCTTAAAGCACACTGCAGGCTCAAGTCAGAAGAAGCCACTCTGTCAAAAATAAAGAAAGTTATCGTCTTAGGTTGTCAGGAACAAAGGACATAATATCCCAGAAATGCAGTCAGTGATGGGGACTATTGCTTGCTGCAGGATTCCCTTGCATCATTGCTATCTTCCACCCACTCCTAATCAAGTGAGGACGACGGTTTCCACCTCCCTAATCAAGTGAGGACGACTCCTTCAGCTGCCCTTGATCTACAGCCTTCCATTCTCACACAGCACCCAGAGTGATAATTCCCATATTGGAGCAGGACACACCACATCCTCCCTGAAACGCCTTCCACAACCCCTTCTCATTCATGAGATAAAGGCCAAGCTCCGTATGAGACCCATTGTCGGAAGTCTGCCTACTTCTCTAGCCTTGTCTCTCAGCCTGTACCACTGTCTGGGCTCCAGCTACACTGCACATCCTTCAGCCCCTCACCCCTTGTCACGTCCCAGCTTTCACACACACCACCCAGACTCCCTTCCCCTTCCCCACTCACCTCTGCCTAAATGACTCCTACTTGTCCTTCCATTCTCCACTTGAGTGGCACTTCCACACTCAGGCCATCTACTCCCCATGACCATCTTAAGCTCCCCTATTTACACGTCCGAAGAAGCCTGCAAGTCTTCTTTTGTAATATCATACACGCAACTACCCTGCTGATTCAATATGCATTGCCTTTCCTGTGAGCCCAGGGACACACCTGCTTTGTTCATGGCTGTGTCCTCACGCCTACCCCAGCACTGGTCTCACAGTAGATACTTTATGTTTACTGAGTAAAAGAATTACTAAATTCATTCCTCAGTTCTTAGCTTTCCAACTCGTCTTCTGATTCACACTGATAATTTAATAGACTTCCTACTTTATTACCATACATCATTGATTAAGATTCACTGATTGTAAAAGACAAGCTATTTTATATAACAATAGGAAAGGAAAATGGTTGCAAGTTAAATTGTGAAATAATATTAAGAGTTACAATTTTTATCTTGTACTTATTGAAAGAGTTCTGTCAGACATCCTTAGACATGGGTTTTATTACATTCCTAAAAAAGGAAAATTTTAAAATATGAGTGAAATAAATTGGTTAGATACTTCAATTTAATTTGCTTTAGGTTTCACACTCAAAATCCACTCTTCTGAACCTCTTTGCCACAGGGTCCAATGACTGTGTTTTTCCACACAGTATTGTCCTCCATGCCACCAAGAGCATCAGTGATGCAGCATTTCTTAAAAGAGTGCTCAGTCCCAAATAGCTGGGATTTCCTCCTAAGCTTCTGATGCCTTTCCACATCTGACGCTGGCTATTAGTAAGAAAATCTTACTAACAGATGTCAGCAGAAGATTTCAGTCAACACCTTGGAGCACATTCCTTCCTCAGCTGGTCATGGACTGAATCACTGCTGAAACAATAAGGGGTTTCCCTCGTCTTGTCATGCAGTCAGAACCACCAAGTTCACACACACACACACACACACACACAGAGGCAAGGCAGCTATAGCACAACCAGCACCTGACCAACTGCAATAAAAGATGTTTTCCATTGTATGACATCCTGGTATCACAGTATTAAAATGTGAAGAAAATAAACATGTCCTAGAGTCAATAAAACACAAGAGGTTGGGGGCAGGGCATAGCTCAAGTGGCAGAGCGCATGGTCAGTACACAGGGGGTCCTGGGTTCAATCCCCAGTACCGCCTCTAAAAATAAACAGACCTAATTACCTACCCCACTAAATAAGTAAGTAAGTAAATAAATAAATAAATAATACTTTAAAAATAAATAAAATACAAGAGGTCAAAAAAGACTCTTCAAGAGAACTTGGGAAAGTTAATAAATGGAAGAATGCAAATTCATTCTCTCCCTTTCCCTCCCTCCCCAACTCTCTCTCTCTCTCTCCCTCTCACATACACACACTCAGTCACTCCCTCGTGGTTCCTCACATGTAGGAGTGGGGAGGTGGGTGCACGCAGCACGGAGCTGAGAGAAGGGTGGGGGATAAATCCAGCCCGCATTGCTCTAGCCACACCCCACACCAGGTGCTTCCACCCTCGAGGAAGAAGGCATTTCCTGACTTTCCACCAGCCCAGCCACCTCCCATGAACAGTGTCCTCCCAGAAGAGACTCCTTTAACTACTATTTGACCTATTAAAATACTTTTTTTGCTTCTCTTTTTGTGGCAAAAAAAATAAACGAGATCTACCTTCCTAAATTTTTAACTGTATAATGGAGTGTTGTTAGCTATTAGCACAATGCTAATAGCAAATCTCTAGAACGTATTCATCTTGCATAACTGAAACTTCACAACCAGTGTACAGCAACTCTCCTTTTCCCCCTCTCACCAGCCCCTGGCAACCACTGTTCTGCTTTCTGCCTCTAGGAGCTGGACTACTTAGATTCCTCATGTAAGTGGAACCATGGAGTAGGGCTGATTTCACTTAGCATAACACCCTCAAGGGTCATCCATGTTGCATACGACAAGATTACCTTTTTAAAGGCTGAATAATATTCCATTGTATGTACATACCACATAAAATAACATTTTTAAGGACCCAGTTATTAAATAAATGGGCATTTCTTAGAAATGTGTCATCACATTAGAGCAGACCCAGTGCCAGAGGTTCTGATCCCCAGTCAGCATGCCAGGGCCCTGAGGGCTCAGCTTGTGAATACTCAACCGCGGCTGGGAAAGGCAGAGGACAGGGATGCCACTGGAAAAGAGAGTGGGTCTCTCTGTGCCTCAGATTCCTCATCTGTGAAATGGTCATAAAGGATTATATGATGTATCAGTTCAGGGTCACAGCAAGAAAGAGATTACACACTCAAATGGGAGTTTTTATGAAGGGGATTATTTACAAGGTGTAAACAGGATTTAAGAAACCATCAAGGGATGATAAGCAAGTGCCCCCCATTGACCAAATCCAAACAGGAGCCAAAGGGCAGAGAAGTGATTGATGTGGTCCATGGACACTAGCCTCCCAGGACCCAGAACAGTGTGGAGAAGTGGGGAGAAGGGATCTGGAAGGACAGAGTATGTCCATCTCAGATCGTCTCTGAGTCCCCCTAGAGCTGCAGCTTTCTATGACCATTCTGGAACAGAATGAAGTTCACTACAGCAAGAAAAAGAATCTATTTACTCTAAAGGTCTGAGGAAAATCCACTAGGATGCATTTTCTCATCATCCTGTGCTTACCTCAGAGAGCAGCACTTGTTTGCTGCTTTCGGAAACAGCTCAGATTGAGAACCCCACCCCAAAGGTCCCTGTTTTTCTTTAACTGAGCTCTTCCACGTGTGGTGGGATTCTGTTTTGAGCTAGTAATTGATGCTTCTCCCTCCTTGTCTTATCCCCTGACACCCTTCCCTTTTTCCAGAAGGAGGATCCTGCAGTGTCCACTGCCTCACAGATGAGACGTTCCAGCAGGAGCAGAATAAAGGCTTTTGGCTTTCTAAACCCAAGCTCTTAAAGTCACAGAGCACAGACAACAGAGCAATGCTTACCATCTGCTCCTGCCCACACTCCACACCCAGGCTGGGAAGCAGGGAGAGAAAGAAAGTGAGGACTGAGTAGACAGTGCAGTTGCTGAGAAAAGGGCCCCGATCCTTCCCCACCACATGAAGACAGCGAAAGGTCGGCACCACGGGACCTCTTTTTTCTCTTCTCACTCAGGAGTCGCCCTCAGTCTGCCCTCTTCCCCTTGACCGTGCCGTGCTCCTACGCACAAGCACAGGGGCTCGGGGCTCACAGGGGTGCTCAGTCCTAGGACGGAGCTGCGGGCTTTTTAATTTCAAGAATCAAGGATCTTTTTGAGAATTTGATAAGTGGTTGCTTCTAAGGAAGTTCCTAGTATCACTCGCCCTAAAGACCAGGTGCTGACCAGATTCCACCATCTGTCCTTTCCTGAGTTTAGAGGTCCTCCTGTGCTCCAAAACGCTTGGGGTTTTGCTGTGACTGTGACTGTGACACAGATGTCCACCCGGGCAGCACCGGCCATTAGAGAGATGTCACAGCTCTCTCAGAATAGAAGGGAGTCACACAGCGTTAGAACAAAACCCCATTCGGAAAAAAAGTAAAAACCAGTTTTCTGAGTAAACATGTCTTTTCTTCTTTCAAAGGAGTTAGATGAATTCCAAGAGGCTTTAAAAAGTGAAGGGAGACTCTAAGTTCTGACAACTGACCCATTAAAAGGAGGAGGGGAGCTGCCAGCCTGCCCATTCTGAAAGAGGAGTCTAGCTGGGCCCGAGGCTACAGTAACTAGCTGGATGACTGTGGCTAAATCACTTAACCTCTCTGTGTCTCGTTTCTCTCATCTGCAAAAATGCCTGGGGTTTGGATTAAAAGCAGGATCCAGGTCCTTCCCAACTCTAAAAATATATGACTTTCAACCTAGGAAAGGGACTTTCCAGTTCAGAGTCCAAGGCTTTGCCATTGAAAAATGAAGCAGAGAAGGAGGAACCACCATCATCAGCCAGCACGGCTGCAGCCTGACAAACAGCAGAGAAGAAGCACTTGGAGGACTCTGTTATCCTGGTGCCTTGATACGTTAGGGCTGCGTTCCCATCTCAGATGATGCGGTCCAAATGGGCTATTCCATGCATCTCAAGAATGCCCCAACCATATTAGGAATTCTCCTAGTGGCTCCTCCGTAACATTACACAGCCTTGCTCCTGACATGGACATTTCAGGCAGCTTTGACCTCAACTCTAGACAAAAATATTACAACTGGATGATTTGTCAAGTGCTAAGTCTAATCCTTGCTGTTCTTTCTCCAGAGCCCTTAAAAAGAAGAGTGCCAGATGTTAGGCTTGTATGTTTAATGGGAAACTGAATGGGCGGAAAACAAAATGCAGCTAGCCTAATTGTAATATTCAGCTGCTTCTGAAAACTCACCGTCTAAACATATCAGAAATAACATATTTTCAGAACTGTGACAAAGTCAAAGTCAAGTCTCTCAAACCCCCCAAATTAGTCTGTCACGAGTAATTCAGAATAAAGCAATCTGTCAGT